GTCTTCACTCATGCGCGCCCAAAGAACTTCACATGGGTCACCCGTCTTAGAATTGCTTCAAGTTACTTCTCGAAAAGAAGATGATGCACCTTGTTGATATGAGTAATACTATCAATCTTTTTGAGTCTTTTCTTTCTCCCATCCATTTATTTTCAAATCAGGATATTACATTCACCCCCGCTTAAGAATGCAATGTCCTCGTTGCATCCTTTAGTTTTTTACAAACCCCTAGATTTTTTCTGTTATGTGAACTAAGCTTGTTGGCCTGCCATAGTCGCAGGGTTGCTTTGGTACCATTTGTACCACCCCAGCCCCCACGCTAGCCATAAGCGTCTGCTCATAAGATTGTAGACTGGCTCACAAATCAGCACAAGTCTTTCTCGCACACTTTATCCACAATCATGCGCGCCCAAGGAACTTCTCAAGGGTCACCCATTTTAGGATTGCTCCAAATCAAGCACACTTAATTCTGGAGTTTCTAAGTGATGAGATCTCGAAAAGAAGATGCACCTTGTTGATATAAGTAGTAATATCAATCTTTTTGAGCATTTTCTTTCCTCAATCTATTTATTTTCAAATCGGGGTATTACATTAGTGCACATGTTTTTCTATTTTATTATTCAAAAAAATATGTTTTTTACAAGACAGAGAAAGTATATAATATAGGTAATGCTCCAAATTTAGTTGTAGTGTTTAAATGTATAGTTTTACAATACTTTAGATATGACATTGTGTAATTGACCATATAAATATCACATATATAGATTTTATTTATATTAAAACAAATAAATAAAGAATAAAAATTAAATAAGTGTACGTATAGAGTAATTAAAATAGGACTTTACTATCTTCAAGAATTACATCTATGAAAATAAATAATTTTTTTGAGAAATTAGTAAATAAATTTATAAGATAAATAACTATTTTGTAAACTCATTTTCTTATTTCATTCATAGTTTTATTTTGTTTTTTTACTCTTCTTAATTATTTTTTCGAAGTATTAAAAATTTTTGTGTGTACATACACATTTCATTGAGAGAACTTTCTAGATATGAATAAAAAACTATGTAAATACCAAAATAGGAGTCACACACTCTTTGCTACATTGCCACACTCACCATATTGTCGCATTATAATTGCCACACTATCACAACCACACTGTCATCCATCGCTGAGTGTCATCGTGGATCACCGATAGTTGACCGACCACACTAACATATTACATTGTTATCAATTTTCTATCACACTCCCAACGCGTACTTGTATACCACACAATCATTATACTCTTATTTGGGTTTAAAAAGACTTAGGACTCCTATTTTGGTATTTTCATACTCTTTTACTCCTATTCACGAAGATTTTTTATTTTCATTTATGTAACTAAAATTAGTAATTTTAGAGTTTAAAAAGTAGTCACAAATTTCTAAATAAAAATTAACTTTTCAAACTTTTGCATCTACAATATATTCATAAAAAATATACATCTGAATTAAAAAATTAGAGTATATATGGATTAGAAATACAGTAGAGGTTAAAAATGTATCCAATTTTTTTTCTCACATATCACCAAATCTTTAAAAATGATAGGTCCAAAGTAGCCATCCAGAAGTAATTCAACAAAAAGTTACGCGTATAGTGTGTTAACTCCGTGCTTCGCACGGGCTCGTATATATTCTAAATTTTTGACATTCTATAAATATAATTTTATTTATTTTAGTATTCTAATAGGAACATAATATGTGTTAGATGAATTTTTTTAACTCTAAGATATATATCTTTTTTCAAATATTATACTTTAAATATAGATGTACATGCACTAAAAATTCTATAAGTATTTTTTTAAAGTAGTAAAAGAGAAATGATTTATTGTTTTTAAAAATCATATGAAACTTATTTTTTCAAAACATCGATAAAGTTAAAAAATATTTATAGATATAATTTGATTATGTAAACAAAATATGTTATAAACGGGTGAAATGTATATTGGTATGTTTATTTAAAAACAAAAAATTTATACAAAAGTAATGGCCATTATTGAATGAAGTACTAATGAAAATAGTTTTAATTAATAAAACATTATAATAAAAAATGGAATTATTAAATAAAGATACATCATTAGATCGAGAATATATGTGTGGCAATGTGTGTGTGTGTGTGTGTATAAAATACGGAGTATATTTTACAATGATGAAACATATTTTTATAAAATTGTTAAAAAATGACATTTTTTATACAAAGTATAATTAAATAATTTTTTTTAGTACTAAAATATAATATTTATTTAATGTAATAAAATAAAATGTGTTAAAAGATCTTTTTAAAAAATTAAATGAACCAATGAAATTGATCCATCTCAATGCACATGTGGATGCACAAGCGATGCACATGTGGCATGCCACATGTCAACACTCCAAGAGATAAACTCAACTTTACATATATACTAGTATTCTAACTCGTGCGACGCACGGGGTCGAACAAAATTTTTGTCTATTCTGAATTATTCCAATGAAATTTATTTTCCGGAATAAAGAATATTTATTGCTCACATGATTTTTTATACTACAGATGAATTATTTACATTGATCATTCTATATTAATGCCTAATTTTTTCACCGAATGCATATCATATTACATAAAATATGTACTGACCTTTTTTTATATTCACCCATTTCATACCAAATTTATTGTCCAAGTTTATAATTTTTTATTTTTAAATTTTTTAGATATGCATATATTTTTACTCAAGCTTGTTAATTTTCGCCCATTCAATTGATTAAAATATTCAATATCTATAAAATACTTTTATTACTTTAAAAATATAGAAAAATGAAATTAAAGGGTCATGGTTGATAAAAAAATTAGTGAGCTATAGGCATACCAAGATAAATCAATGGTTTTAAATTTTAATTATCCATGATTTCTATGAAACCTATGAATGATGTTTAATATTTTTACGGATGCACATTATGATCGGTAAAATAACATGACTATATCAAAAAAACTATACATATTTTTATGTAATCTTTTGGTGGAGTATTCATTTTTCTGATGGAGAATTTGTTAAATCCTTCTAAAATTTACATCTAATTTTAAATTTTGTATAAAATCTTAGCTTATTTCTTTAACATAAAAGAAATTATCTATACTAACATTTTACATATGAAGATAATAAAAATTTTTATTGTTCATTAAAAAGAAACCATATAAATTTTAAATACAAAAATTCTAGTCACTAAAATATCACGTTTGATTTTGTTATTTAAAAAAATCTAAGAGCTATGTATTAAATTACCATAAAGCAATAAAACAAAATTAAATATATTAAGATAAAACAACATTTAAAATATGTACCTTTTATGTCCTTTTTTGTTGAAGTATTTCTCTTCTCCTTTCTCTTGCATCTCTAGCTGATCTTGTCCAGCTATCGTCAACTTGATTTTCCATAGTTCCAATTGAAATGGAAAAATGGGATTCTCCTACCACCAATACTTTAAAAACGGAAAACTGAAGTTAAATTAACGATTCTCCGCCTTTTTATTGCAAAATTGATTTTGAATACCTATGCATTCAAGTGGTAAAATGCCAATGGGTGGTGGATGGCGCATTTCAAGTCATTATATATCTCTTTTTATAATAGGATTTCAACCCAAGTATATAAGAGTTTCCATAAATTTGGATATAAAAATTATCAATTTGACCCAAATAAATGAATCCTTACTAAAAATAAAGGAATCCGGAATAATATTATTATTATCCAAGATACATAATTAAGGATTTCCATATATAATAAGTAAAGAGATCCAAAATAATATTAGTATTATCCAAGATACATAATATAAGTAAGATTATGAATAATATACTCGTGATCATAATTTTCAAATTTAGTATTATTTAGGATTGTTTTTTAATAATATTTTTCATAAATTTTGTCAATCACCATATATAAGTAAGGTGATCAATAATACACTCATTTTGGTAAGACATATAAGTAAGGAATAAAAAATAATAGTGGAATTTCCATTAATATAGGTACTCTATTAATTTCAACCTATATATACACAAATTTCCATAAATAAATCTTTATAAGTTATTAATTTAAGTAAGTAATTTATAAATATGGAAGTAAGATACATGATTAATATATGTAGCATGGTCCTAGAATTCTATTTAAATTAAATGACAAAGGTTATATTTGTTTTTTATTTTTTAGATAGTATTTATATTTTTTTTATTTATTTTTAATTATTTCATATTATCCTCGTAATAGGAGTTCGTAATGTTGTAATGTGAAAAATGTATATTTACATATATCTCATTTTGGGTTATATATATATATATATATATATATATATATATATAATGAAAAATGTTATATTTGTTTTTTAAGTATTTATATTTTTTCGCTTTTATTGTTAAAGATTTTATATTATCCTCGTAATAGGAGTTGGTATTGTTGTAATGTGAAAACATATATTCCGTATTTAAATATTGTTAAATATGGTAGATATATTACTCATATTTTTTAGAATATTTGTTTCCTTGTTTACCTAGACTTTACATCCTCCCATGTATGTATAAATACCCCGAAATATGATGAATAAAATATTTAACTTACAACACATATATCTTTTTTAGGTTATATGTATACATTATTGGCATGAAGACGCTTATTTTAGAGAAAAAATTGAAATCGTCATATGATCCTGGTAATCAGCTAGTGAAGAAGGCATTGGATTCAATAGGGGAGATTATTCTTATTTTAGTTCAATAAATCATGATTACAAAACACTTATAAGAGTTTTTAGTTCATTTACAATTTTGCATTAAAGCCTTCACTCCTTCAGGAAAGAGATTGGGTCATACTCTTGTTAAGGCACCAAATTTAATGACTAATTTAGTTGAGTGGGGCTCTAGTCCTCTAGGAATTATTCAAGGGTTACTCAATTTTGATATGAATAACATTAAACAAACTGCTAATTTTCATTAAAATTTGGAATTAAACCATAACCCATCCTTTATTATAAAGCACCAATTTCTAACAATGAAATTATAAGGCCTTAAATGTAAATTCAAGCAGAAAATAATAACAGTATTAAAACAGAGTAGTTTTGGGATTATATTTTTTCTACTTTAACGCTCTTCATCTTGTTGATTGACTCATTGTCATAGCTTCTTTCTCTTGCATTCTCTTAAGAGGGGTAAGATTATTCATATCATCTTCAGCTTGCAATGACCGACTATCCACGGTTTCCACAAAATCGGCAACTAAATCCTACAAAATAGGGTAATAGAAATGTAAATAAATTTATAAAAGTCATTCAAAATTGTATCACACACATTAGTGAATCAGAATTGATCATAATATAGATTACTTATATTTAAAGTTCAATTAAAGCTTATATGACGTTGGAATTCTAAATTCATTTGACGATACTATTTTTTCAAGTGCAAAATGTGGTTACTTTTATGAGATTTTACTTCCCAAATGAAGTTGCAATGCTACAAATCAATGTGAAAAGTAAAAAAAATGTTGTTTACCTTTACGCAGGAAGAGGTATCCCCTTCTAAGAAACCATGCGTCTTCTCTTTCTCTCCTGTTGAAAATCTAGGTGCAATATCAGCCTGTAGCCAAATACAAGTAGCAAGTTTTGTCAAGCAAAACTATCCCATAAAAATGCATTTGCAGAATTTGAGTTTTTTTAATATGTCAAACCTGAGGAGAGAAAAAGGGTGAGTTCATATCCTTAAACTTTGCAATGATTTGCTCGTTGAAGCATACGTCGATCACATTGTATGTTGGGTCAAATTCATTAAAGCAAGTTGTCCTAATTTCAACTTTGAAAATAAAAGATTTATCATCCAACATATTCTTAAGTAGGTTTGGTTGTGCACTTCGTCCTAGAACTTCTTTTGCACAGCAATCCAAAGCCAAAATCAGAGAATGTTCTTATTTTACAGTGCTCTCAAACAGGTATAGCCAGTAAATTTAAAAAAAGTGAGGTAAAACAGAATTTGGTCATCCTTCTCGATTTAAAGTTATGTTTTTTAAATACAGATACGTTTCTAAATATTGGCTATGCATACCTCTCACAACTTCAGCATCTCAGAGCACAATTTATGCAACATCAAACATCCAATGTTTTCGAATACAACAAATGTAGCACTGTCGAATACATCATTGACCCTGGTCTTTATTCGATATGTGTGTTATCATTTCATGATTTATTCTTTGATATATCAAAATGACACTAATGTAAAAGCTAGAGAACATATAAAGGGTTTTGATGAACCTTGGAATAACATTCAACACACGCTTTTTACAGTCACTGCAGTAGTAAGATCCACTACGCGGGATCACCTCTGACCCACACTGACATGCTGTTATGAACCAATCAGAGCCACCATCTACACCCTTGATGGTGCCATATACTGCATAATTACCATTCTTAACATAGAAGGAAAATCAGTGAATACAAATATTATCAATTATCAGCAAGTTGCGTGTAGGAAATTAGGAAAGCATAGGGTTTCTAGGTCCAAAAAAGGCCTGAAATACTGGACAACCATACTGATGGGGGCCCACACGTATCTGTCTTAAAGATAGCTTAGTTTACTGATCAATGCTCTACCTTTGGAATATTAGTTGTAGATAAAAACTTACTTTGGTTCAATGGTGATTATCTGTTGGACATTTAGTTTTTATTCAGCTGTTTGGGTATAACTTTATTCATATAATTGGACTTTGTTTTCACTTTAGGGGCTATACTTTGTTTTTTATATATATATATATATATATATATATATATATATATATATATATATATATATATTTGCTTGTTCATAATAATTTTTTTTGATTAAAAAATATGGGAAAAGAGGCTTTTACAAAGAAGGAAAACTAAAGCATCTACCAACTTAAGAAAGACAAACCTCTGTGTAGTCCTTCAATGCTTCAATTGTTGTCGTACATGTACATCTTAAAAAATCATCCTCCACTAAGTACATAGGTTCAATGCTCTTACCATTATTGGATTTTTTGTCAATCGCGTGTACATTCTCCAAGTATTTTGTTATAGTGGGAGAGTCATGACATATTTTGGACACTCTAAAGGACTGATCATGGTTACTTTGAAACATCATCCTCACTTCAAATTTAAAAAGATACGTCTTGCCGAGTAGAAGATCGTCAAACGCTTTTGGATTATAAAGATTCCCATCCTGAGATATAATGTACAACACTAAAATAAGCAAACACATGTTGAGCCTTCATTTATGGCTTTCTCAAAAGTTCCTGCCAAACTTCTTCGGACTGTGGCGTGAATTGTAGTCTCCTATATAATTAAAGAATAAAATTATTAGTAATCACATTAAATAAATAATTAAAATCCTGTAAAAAAAATAAACAGTTCAATCCTTTTTTTGAAGTGACAATTCCTTTTCTAAAGGTTTAGATGTTATAAATATTACGTGTAACATTTTCTACAGGATTTTTTTTTCATTTTTTGTAATGAATATATAATTTTTTTCAAAAAAATGGTATGTAAATTATTTGATTTTAATGTTGATCAGAAATATATACTCGAAAGACTAAGAATATGACTTTTGTAATATTGAAAAGAATGAAAGAACATGAGTTTTATTCACTGGATAGAGCCTAAAGATGTATAAAAAGTTAACATATGGTAAACAACTCTGTTTGTTTGACATTTTATGTTAAACAAACAGAGTTTGACATAAAATGTCAAACGATTTTTTTTAAAATGGTATATTGGTATATATATTACGGAGCATTTGATTTTAATGTTGATCAGAAATATGTACTCGAAAGACTAAGAATATGACTTTTGTAATATTGAAAAGAATGAAAGAACATGACTTTTATGTAGAGTATTACAGCGGGAAAAATAAAATAAAATTAATCCAAACCTATAAAACATTCGGATTTTACAATGAAATAAAGAAAAGAAAAACTTGGAGTCTTCGGATGCTTCAACGGCAAACAGAGACGTTGGACGAAGAGAGGAAGACGAAAAGCTACGCCGGTAGGAGTGTAACGCCCCGAAACATACCCTAGAATTATTATTAAATAATTATTTGATTAAACAAATTTGTTTTGATTAAAATAAATTGTTGTTGGGCTTTGGGCCGATACGAAATATGTTTTGATATCTATTATCACACTCTGGATAAATCTCATAGAGATAAATCCAATATATTGACTTTTTGTGTGGTCTTGATTGGAAACCTGTGTACAGACCCAAATTAAGAATAAATGAAGAAATTGTTTATAATGTGAACTTTGAAATGATATTTTGAAATAAATCATAGAAATAAATAATATGAATTAAATGTGAGAACCTTTTTGAATAAAAGTCAATTAAATCAATTTTGACTCTGTCAAAGTCAACCACCCAAAAATATGATGTCGGAAAAAGTGTTACAAATAAATATAAAAATTATATTTATGGATAGAGTTTAACTGCCTGACCGCAACGGTGCAAACGGAATTTAATTTGGAGAAAGTTGGACCAAAAAGCGTACCCTGACTGGAACCAAATTGGTCCCAATCAGGGAACGACGTGTAGATCAATTAGAATCGCCGTCCTGCGCACTAAGGAATTTCTACGTAGAAATGAGTCAGCTACCAATGTCTTCTTCCCCTTCTCTTCTTCTACATAAGGATACTCCATCCTTATCAATTTGGCACTAATGTTCTAGAAAATTATACCATTGTGTTCATAAGAGTGAAGGGAGCAGTCTGGTGTTGTTGGTTGCCGCCGAAGTCGCCGGAGTGGGGAGTAATCATCGCCGGAAAATTTCCAAAACCTCCATTAAGCTTCGAGGTAAGCCCGTAGATATATCTAGTGACTAGAATGTTCATATGGATCGTTTCTACATTCATAAACGGTCGTTTGGTTGAGTTTTGTGTTTGACATGTTTGAAGAACCAAGAATCATAAACCATGAAATTGTTGTTAAAATTACGAATTAATGACTCTAAAATGATCTGTGAACATTGGAGAACATTTTTATATGATTAAATTGAAGTTTGGTGATTAAAAAATGATAATGTTAAAACTGACCCGAGGAAGAAGATGATGAACAGTGGCCGAAAATCGATTATGTACTTACTAAAAATCGATTAGAATTTTATTCAGATCGGTGGTTCGAACTCAGTCCCATTTAATTGATTATTTATGTTGTAAAAATCGATTATTATGAATTAATTGATTATTTATATTGTAAAAATCGATTATTATGAATTAATTGATTATTTAAATTGTAAAAATCGATTATTGTGAATTAATTAATTATTTAAATTGTAAAAATCAATTATTATGAATTAATTGATTATTTAAATTGTAAAAATCGATTATTATGAATTAATGGATTATTTAAATTGTAAAAATCGATTTTTTATGAATTAATCAATTATTTATATTGTAAAAATCGATTAAAAAGAATTAATTGATTATTTAAATTGTAAAAATCGATTATTATGAATTAATGGATTATTTAAAATTATATAAATCAATTTTTATAAATTAAATGCTTATTTTAAATTATTTTCCTCAATTCCAGATCCTGCTATGAAAATGTTCCTGAAAATATGCTCTAAAATCCTATTTTTGATAACAATTAATTATGAACAATACAAATATGATTTTGTATAATAAAAATGATGTTTTAGGGATATAAAATATTATGTGATGCATGACGGTAAGTTAGAGTGTTAACACTCAAAACTAGACCGCTATTTGTTATCAATTGTTATGTTGATTAATGATTATGATGAATGATTATGGATGATCATGAATAATGAACTAACTGATGAAAATGATTATTGATGATTCAGCCATGAGAGTAATGAACATATTGATAATTATTAAATCTAAACATAACAATTTGCCATAGATCTTCTTGAGATTCTATATGGATAATCAATTAACTACAATTCCGATAGATCTTCTGGAGATCTTATCTAGAACATAATCTTGTCCGAATACTTTTGTACTTGTAAACTACTTAATCTATTTTTGCGTATTTACCCTAAGTATCTGGTTTGATCTCCATCACTCGTTTGGGAATGCTCGATCTAATGTTGATCAATCGCTATATTGTTCTTGCCTTAACTAACTACAGTTAAGTGTCCGAATCAATTGCCTTAAACTAGTGATAGTTTAAGTGTCTGATTGCCTTAACTGATTACAGTTAAGTGTCCGAAATCAATTGCCTTAAACTAATCATAGTTTAAGTGTCTGATTAATGATTGCCTTTTAAGAATCTGATTATAGAAATTATGATCTGGCCTTAGACTAAGAATAGTTAAGAGCGTTGTTATAGATTAAGAATAATTTAAGGGCATTGCCGAAATAATATCTGAATTGAATAAATTGTGTTGATATGAACTAAACATTATCAAAACTATGAATGACTGAAATGAACATTGTGTGCATGATATCAAATGATTTGATTATGAATTTAGATTCAGTTTATATGGATGTTCGACGCATTAGATATGCTTACTCAGCTTTACGGCTGAGCGTGTAGTGTGTTTTATTTGCTACACGCAGGTAAGCAGAAAGCACAATGTGATCCTGGCGGCAGATGGGGCGAGATTGTCGGGATGGATGTTACAAGTTCTGAAACAATTTATGATATGTCAATATTAAAATCGCTTCCGCAATATTGTTGAATACTCCGTACTGTATATGTTATGAAAAATATTATTGGGATTAATAAAGTGTGTTTAAAAAGTTTTAAATTTTTACGATTACCAAGTTAAATACTTTAGTCCGAATGGGGCGGGCTGCAGACCTGGACGGATTGGGGTGTTACAGTTTGGTATCGGATCAAATGGTTTTAAAACCGATCTTCGGATCAAAAAATTGATTTAAAAAAAATGTGTTGGTCACATCCACGACTCTCGCATCCCTCTGCTCCAGGAAAGGTATGAGAATTTATTAGATAAATATTGGGTTTGTTAAAATTCTCACTAGATAACCATTGTTAGTACTGAAATTATATCGAGCATAGACTCAAGTAGATTTTTCGTACTCGGTGAAGAGACGAAAGAATAAAAAAACATTGTGATACGTTATCAACGTACTTATCATATCGCGATTGACGAAGCTGATCTATCTCGCAAAGTCGCATAGAAGTGAGATGACTATGAAGAAACGCCTAATGTTAAATAACATTCGCAAAGCTGCTGTCAAAGATCCTCATGTGGACTGAAGATGATCGGATTGCTGATTTAAACATGAACGTTTAGAATCAATAAACTTTGTTGTCTAAAAGTATCCCATTCTGATGTCTAACTCATTACGACGTAAATATGCGATTAAATTATACGAATCAAAATCGTTCGTTCAGCAACAATTCCTTGCAAAACTTTGTTGAAATATCCTACAAGGAAATTGACGTTATCCTTATCTCGTATCTATGACGTATTTGATCAGCTTAGAAAATCCATTGTGCTCTCTAAGATTGACTTACGGTCAAAGATACTATCACATCTCTGTTAGGACAGACAAACTAACGATCAAGAATTGCTACCCTTTACTATGTATTGACAACTTGTTCGGTCAAATTCAAAGGAACCTACTTGTTAGAAGCTATGGATAGCTCAATCTTGTTGAATGAGGTGACACATTGTTATGACACGATTAGTGACTTAAACATCGATGTAGTTTGATAGAATAAATATTCGTTGTCAACTCGTCTATTCAAGTCAAAGAATCCTAACTAAGGAATTTCTATTATTGTAGAGCGGTAGAACAGAGCACCGGCGAACGAGAATGACGGAGAGCTATCGCCGAAGAAGATGATCGGAGTTGTCGGAACCTTTAGATCGCAGAGATATTTTCGAGTGTGTACTGGTGTGTTCATCTCTGCGACCAACCCCTCCTTTTATAGGAGAGGAAGTTGGCCCTTCGCACGCGGGCGCGACATGCCTCGCCCCGCCGCGACGCGCGCGTGTCGTGCCGTTCTGAGCCGGACAGACGGCGGTGGCGGCGCGCGAGGAGTCCTATTCTTGTTCCTTTCATAAGCTCAATTGAAGGCCTAAGCTTAAATATGGGAATATGAAAGGTTCAAAAACCGGTGTGGGACAAAAGTATTTACTCTACCCTCGTATTCACCCGAGCACCGTTTTGTTGGACATGAGTTCAAACCCCTTTATTATTTTTCTGGAATATTTTTGTTTTGATAAATGACAAACAGGATGATGAAATTCAAACGATGATCGAAAATTTACTTTTCGTACCGAGAAAAGAAAAGAGGCGTATCAAGAAAGTTACGGGATAAAAATCAACAGTCCCCCAACGCAGTTTTTCGAAGTGATGTGAAGACTCCGAAGACTTTTTAATTTTTATTGAGTCTAGGATTCTTGTAAGGATGACAATATCTTGTGCACAAAACAATTTAATTTCTGAGGGATAAAAATTATTTTTGAGTCAGTTGAAAAATCATTTTTTCTCTGTCTAAAATATTTTAGTGAGTCAATCTCAAAATAAGTGTGTCAAAATTTCTTTAAACATTTTCTTAAAGTTACACAATTTTCTTTGGTGAGAAAAATATACTTTAAATTTTTTTT